GCAAATAAGATACGACTCCTAATCCCTCAAGCTAAGGTTAGACCAAACACTTACCTCGAACTTCCACGGCCAACTCAAGCCTCAAACACCGCTTTTCCTTTAGAATTTGCCTCTGAACAACTCGTATCTAGTCCAAATTGATTTAACAACATCAATAAATGCTAAAGAATTCATACCCAATGCTTAATTATAGATTTCCTATCATTCTTCCCAAAAAGTCAAAAATTGACCACGGGCCCACTTGGTCAAAATACGAAGTTCGAACCAAAATCCGATCACCCATTTACCCACGAGGCCGGATATGTAATTAGTTTCGGAATCTGACCCCAAAACGAGGTCTAAATTCCAATTATACAAAAAAACCTAACTCTACCCAAATCCCTAATTTTCTACCCTTAAGAACATGACTCAGACCTAGAAATCTAATGGGTGTTAATGGAAACTGAAGAAAATGAGTATAAGATTACATACCTATGAATTTGTGGTGAAGTTCCCATTCAAAAATCACCCAATTTGGAGTTTGGAAGACGAAGTTATAGGTTTTGGGTTAAATCCTGTATGTGTTCTTTACTGTTAAATGACTAGGCAAAAATAAGCTACGCGATCGCGACCAAGCCTATGCGATTGTATAGGTTTGACTCTCCTGACCTACGTGTTCGTGAGCTAAGGGTTGCGTTCGCATAGGGTTAAAACTACCCAGCCCCCGACCTATCTCCTATTCTATGCGTTCGCGTCAGCCCGGGTGCGTTCGCGTAGAGTGAACTCCTAAGGCTCCTCGTTCGCACCTGGTTCTATGCGATCGCATAGTGCAAACCTGACTCCTTCCCCGTTTGTGCATTGCGTTTGCGAGTCTTACCACACAATCGCATAGGGTTAAAAACTCAGACACCAGCAATAGCAGAAATACCATATTTCTAAGTCCAAAAACACTCTGACGCCTATCTGAAACTCGCCCGAGCCCTCGGGGCTCCAAACCAAACATGCACGCTAACCTAAAAAATCATACGGACTTACTCATGCGATCAAATCACCAATATAACATCATCAACTATGAATTTAACATCAAAATCATAAAATCACTTAAGAACTTCAAATTTTCCAATTTTCTCAAATACGGAACGATTCATGTCATTTCAAGTCCGTTTCTTACCAAATTTCACAGACTCATCTTAAATCACATATAAGACCTGTACCAGGCTTCGTAACCAAAATACGGGCTCGATACTATCAAGTTTTAAACACGTTTCATTTTCAAAACTCATAAATAATTCCAGAAAATAATTTTCTTTAAAAATTCATTTCTCGAGCTTGGGACCTTGGAATTCGATTCCGGGCATACGCCCAAGTCCCATATTTTCCTACGAACCCTCTGGGACCATCAAATCATGGGTCCGATCCGTTTACCCAAAATGTTGACCGAAGTCAACTTAAATTTATTTTAAACTCAAAATTCATTATTTTTTCACCGATTTTCATATAATGGCTTTTCGGTTACACACCCGGACTGCGCACGCAAATTGAGGTGATGCTGAAAGAGATTTTTAAGGTTTCGGAACGTAGAATTTATTTCTAAAACAAGTGATGATCTTTTGGATCATCACAACGAGACTACAACCAATTGAGTAGAGGCTTTGGGATACGTGCATGTTGCTCAACTTATACATAATATGGAGCATAATGATTACCAATTGTTTCATGAACTTTTCTCAAGAATAAATTCTAGATTTAGGGTAAGTATTTTATCTTATTTTTCTCTTTTAAATTCTTGACATTCTGTAATTTGATTTTAAATACAAGCAAAGACAATAAATTTGATTACAACTCTAATTGAGTTTGTAAGAAAATTATAACCACCTGAAGTGGTAAAATTTCTATGCATTACCATAATCAAATTCATGTATGATTGTGGGCACAAGAAGTACAAACCCATCCCATTAAATTTGCTTCATTCGTATTCCCTTAAGAGAATGTGGTAGCAATATGTAATAAGTCTGAAAGAAGACAAAATTATTATCATGAAAGTATCACTGGATGTGGACGTGGCAATAGACGAAATTATAATCGTCATCACTATGGTAATGAGAATAATAAGGATTCTTAAAATAATCTTTCACTCTTTGAAATTTGTCATTGATTTGACATGAGATTTTGTAAAGCACATATAGATGATTATGATTCATTCATGGTGTGAATGTGACAATATGTTATTTATGAATACATATTCATTCTTGAAAGAATATGAATGTGCTAGTGGTAGTGATATACCACCACACTCACCTCTAAAAGGAGGTTTGAGATAAAATAAGAAAATAATGTCATTATTATGGCATAAATGGTCATTGGTCACGTACTTATTGTACGCCAAAATATTTTGGCATTGTGATTATTAAAAGACAACGGTAATGCAAGAAACAGATATTGCATATAATTTTGACCATAACCATAATGGTATAACTTTCTCTTTAAAAGAGATATTTACCATATGGATGTTGATGAATATGTGGTAGTACCAAATTATTTGAGAGCTCTGGAAGAGCCAATTATTACTATTTTGGAGGAATAAAATTGATTATCAATAAGGCATTATGTTGTAGTAAGTCTCAAAGAAACTTAATTGAGTTTCTAAGGTATTCGCGAAAGCGGTTCGTTATATTGAGACTATAAATAAAGGAAAGATTTAATATCTTCTATTACTACAACTTGTAGCGTGGTAATATGTATGTGAAAAATTACCCGCTATATTCTTCAGTTTGTACTACACAAATAAAAGAATACCACAATAAAGTGGATGTTTATTGATATAAAAATGCATATCATAATAAACTTGGAGTTTATTGATAATTGCACATGTCATGGTATAAACCTGAACTTTATCAATATTGATAATTTATTCAGTTATCATAATTGGTTTAGCCATGTTAATTTAAGTATGATGAGCAAAAATAAAAGAGAATTCACATGGGTAAATATTAAAGAACTAGAAAGTTCTTTCCGAATTATCTTACATTGCTTGTTTTTATTAATTAATAGACCAACTAAAACTGGGATTGAATCCCATGAATGCTGAAAATATCAAAGGTGAATATGGGCCCATTCACCTGTCATGTATACCACATAAGATGCATCTATGAGATGGTTACATGTGCGATTATTATTAACCCGCAACCTGGCCGGTGTTTGCAAGGTAACTTGTTCAGTAATTTAATTTCGAGCATAATTTCCATATTTTCTATTCAAGACAGTTTATCTTGATAAGTTGGTTTACATCATAGTTGGTTTAGCAAAATGATTTATTGAGTGCTTCTGCTTAATAGCTAAACTATTTCTTATAAGAACAAAGTTATTTATATCAGTTTGATAGACATTATATACGAAAGTATATTTTATTCTCCCCTCACAAGTGGTTCAGGGTTAGGAACCAAATAATTCCATCTTATTATTATTGATGTGCGATGTATATTTCTATTAACACTATAATCCACAAAGATGGGTTTCCTAAAGTTAGTTTTTTTTAACATGAGGGGGAAACATGATAAAGAAAAAGTTATGTGGAATGAATTATCATTTGTATATCTAGATCCTCGAATAAGATAATATGAACTTGAGGTTCATAAAAAAAGATAATTCATTTGCAATATATTGCAAAGCATGCCAGGCGCATTTGCTGACCCAAAGAAAGTAACTATATTCTCGTTGCAAATACTTCTATTAAGTCCTAGAAGGACAAAGTCTATGGTATGCTTAAAGCATATAGACAAATCGATTTCAAATAAACTTCTTGATAAAGAAGATGAGTAAATTATCAAAATGATCATAATAAAGGAGGCAAGTGATCTAGAAGATCACGTGACATAATACTTCATAAAATCTCATGAGAGGTTTAGGTACCTGAAATGAATGAAGAGATCTCTATATTATGTCTTTATTAAAAATGTTGAAACCAATATAAAATGTTCATCGACGACATCTATGATACCGCTAAATATATACGAGGATCTTAAGTCTGGAGAAACAATTTCGAATAGAATTGGTTTCATATGAAAGACATGTAGTTTTGAACATGTAGTTCAAACACTTGAAAGTATAAAGTCAATAATATGTGCAATCAGTTTTCGATATCTTATTTGTCTAGCATGACATGAAAACTTGATATGCATCTTATTAAAGTCTATTATATGACTTAACATATATGACAATCCTTGAAGGATTTAAATCGCTTAAAGCATATACAATTAGCGCATATTTGTATCTTGCTATAATTATAAGCATGGTAATATGATAGCAAGATTTTTTACCCCTATGTGAAAATATTGAAATGACGATTCTAACAAGATCATACGAAAGACAATACATCTATTAGGAATGATGATTTCAAGGTGAAACAAATTTGCAAGTTAATATGGTTGATTTGTTTATCAAATCTATACAAACAATATTTTGAAGACAATGTACAAGATTGGAATGCGAAGGCTCAAAGATGTGAATTGATGCTCTCATCATGGGGAGTTAATACGCGTTGTACTCTTTTTTCCTTACAAGGTTTTGTCCCACTGGGTTTTTCTTGCAAGGTTTTTTAACAAGGCAACCAAAAGGCGTATTATTAGATATGTATACTCTTATTCCTTCTCTAGAAATTTTTTCCCATTGGATTTTATTTTGATTAAGGTTTTAACGAGGCACGTTATCTATTGAGTAAACGTTCAAGGGGGAGTATTATAAATAGAATTTTATTTATGGTGAATGTCTATATTTTAGAGAGATTTTAGGAATTTTACTTGGTGACTAAGTTACTCTTTCTCTATAAATAGAGGGATATTATTCTATTGTAATTCATCACAAATCAATAAGAATTCTCCCTACTTTTATCTGCAATACTCTTCTTTATTGTTTCATAACAAATGAGATAATTATAGTCACTTACAAGTATTAAAAAGTAAATTTTTAATTTAATGGTTAATCATACCCCATTACATAAATTGAAACAAAATTACCTTTGCAATAAAAAGGGTGGATGGGTAGTGGGGTTATCCGGCAGTGATGGGATGACCAAGATTGGGTTTTTCCGTCTACTGTCAAGAACCAGCATTTTCCTTTACCCGCATAGAAGAATATCATCATCAAATTTTAGAAGAAACCATTGCAAAAGGATGGTGACGTTAATAGTGGCTACCACCATTGACCCGGCTTCCATTGGACCTGCTTCCGCCCTTTTAGCCATGCCTGGTTGGCACCCTGGTCCGCCTATTCAGGTTTCTAATTCTACCTCTTTCTTCTTCACTGCGTATCATTCCCCCCTCTTTACAATTAATCATCTAAACTTATCAGGGGTTTTGATATATGTTTTCTACACTGCTCCGAATGTGCATATATAGTTTGACTAATTTTACACTGGCTGTGATAATAAAGGGGAAGGGGAGCTTGGCGTACCTCAGAGGCTGAGCCAGAATTTGAAGCTTATGAGTTCGGAATTTTAGTCATTTTAAGTCATTGGGTTCTAAGTTAATAATTTGCACATATTCAATGGACTTTTTAAGACAAATATAGGATTTGAACAAAGTTATTGGGTTCGGTCAAACCCGTAACTTATACATTGCCTCTGCCCCTGCCGTAACCGATAAAGTTGTAGCCACATGAACAGGAGGTCATGGGTTCGAGCCGTGGAAACAACTTCTTGCAGAAATACAGGGTAAAACTGTGTACGCTAGACAATTGTGGTCCGCCCCTTTTCCGAACCCCGCACATAGCGGGAGCTTAGTGCACTGGGCTGCCCTTTGTGATAATGAAGGGGTGCATTGTAAATTTATCTTTGTTTTGTTTCAATTGTAGCAATTCAAGCACATATATATCCTATTTTCACTAATTCAAACGTATTCAAAATTTAAAGAGTATGGTTTCAGGTCTAGGGAACTACATGAAATGAAACGAGAGGTAAAAGACATGCTTGAACTGATAAAGCTGTGATCTTTTTTCTTTTTGTTTATGAATAAGCTTAGGATATGCCAAGTTTTGTGAATCAAGATGTAAGGTTATTGAAACATGATAGAAGCATTGTGAGAGAGGACTACTTGGACAATCGTTGGGAAGAGGCCACGGGCGAGATGGTTGATGAGGTTATCTTTCTTAGCAAGCACACTGCTGCATCTAACCGTCCTGCACTCACTGTTCACCCCATAGGTAGAAATTGCTAACCGCATATGGTTTATGTTCTTTGGATTTGACGGACTTGCCTTTACCAGTATGTTGAAGTATTCAATTTATGTTGATTGTGTTGTGATGAAAAAACTTAGGTGTCCCTCACCTAAAAGAAGGGGAGCAGCCACCAGTAGGGGGGAAGCCTGCCTGGGCCGCACCACCTAATCCACGTATTGGGCCGTGGTTTAGACTTTTGAAATCTATTGCCGACTCACAGAATCTAACTCCTGAATTCGAGGTAATATCCTTGTTTAACTGCCTTTTCTACTTCAATAAGCTCATAACAGATTTCTTTTATATGAAACATCGAAAGTTTTTGTGGTTGGTTTTGACTCAGTGTTGGGGTGTGTACGGTAGATTCGTTTGTTTTACTGCACTTATGAATCAATTTCCTGTGAACATGTTCATCTTAGTTTCTTGTGGTTGGAACCTTCCCCCTGGAGAGTAGACTGTTTCTAGTTTAATTCTCAGTAGTCAAGATTTGGCGGTTATTCTGCTAAGAACTGCTTTTAAATATACTGTCTGAGTGGTAAGAGCCAAGAGGAACCTAGTTAAACTGTTTGTTCTCCTCTGTTAACTACTGGGTTTGTTTTGTCATGACTGACATTTATAGAATTGCAAAATTGTAGGGTTATCAAGGCGAAAAGCATAAAAAAGCTCAAAGGTCCATTGGGGCCTTAAAGCGCAAAGCGCAAAATAAAATGTGGGCTTTTAATAAAAAAAGGCGCAAGGGATAAAAATACAAATATGTATGTCTAGTACAAGACTAATAATTATAAGCATGAACAACAAATGTGGTACAAGAAATTGGAAAAAAAATTAAGCTTATCAGGATAACGCTTATACCTTAAAGCCTTGATGACAACACTGAAGGGCCCGCTAAATGAGGCGAAGCGCTCAACATGTTTTGATCCTCGCTTCAGGGCTTAAGCGCGCCTTTGACAACATTGCAAAATTGATGGGGTTGATAACTTCCATGTTTGCTTGATGTAAAACCACAGTTTCCACTTTATGAGTGATATCAAGTAGTTGACCATAAAGTACTTCTGGACTCCACCTAGCACTGAAGTGAGATAATAATCATGAGGCAAAGGGAGAAGTAGTAACAAATAAAATGATTATTTGTAAGATTTTAAATAGCAGTACAAGTATACATATAAAATTGTACACCTTGATATTTGTAATATAAAACTAATGTAATAGCAACGAAAGGTGACAATTTTCCATGTAAATATTTTGTGAGATAACACTCGTCAAAAAGGATTAGAAACATTAGTATTACAAATAGACGAAGTTGAAAACATGATTTTTTTTTTTTTTGGGTCAAAGAAAAGATGAAATTTATGAATTGCAAAGATATCATCAATATGTATAGTTTCTTTATTTGACTGCTGATCGTTGATACTGCATTTAAGTTTTAACGATTATGTGTCGATGCTGGATCTGAACATAGAATTGATTTTTTCCTTGCACCATGGATTTCGCTTTCAGTACCAAGTGCAATCCTTTTGATATTTTCTAATTTTATCTACTTTGTAGCGTAAGCATCTCCATGTGCGAACCTTTATAGTATATCTATTTCGTGGTGTAGGTCACATTGGAAGCTACACATCATGGACCTTTAACTAATGCACCCACAATGTTTGTTGAGATTGGTATACTTTCTTTTACCTGTCATAAATTTCATTTGACCCTCTGTAATAATATAATAATATTAAGTTTTTTCTCCTTATCGAAAAACAAAGATTGTGTATTTTCTTTCATCGTTAGAGTGATATACCTCATCTAATGGCAAAGACAAATGGCTATGTTTCTATCTAATCAATTGAAAGCTGTTTATTGTGTACTGTGTAGGTAGCACAGAGGAATACTGGAAGAGACAAGATGCCGCACAAGCCATTGCCTTAGTTGGGTATCCTTTTACGCCACAAACTCTTTTGCAATAGTTATTTAGTTTCTCATCTGTTTCTATTGTTAGCAGACCCCCAAATCTTGTTGTTATGCTGAATCATGCATTGGCGTCTGCCAGGCCAATTGAACCCTTTAGCGCTGCATTCATTACAATTTTGGGCTAAAAGAAATCAGAGGAATATCTTTAATTCTCTTTTTCTAAAATAATATTAGAATTCTTCCCTCTTTGTTGGATATCTTTTAACCTTCCCTCAACTGTGGTGTTTGCAGTTAGTTTGGGAAGGACTGGGGCTCAACGGAGGAGCTGCAGTGGGGGATTGGAGCAGGTACAGGCCAATTACTTTTATCTTGGTTATACTGTACTGTGGCTATTTATACTTCAACATTGCTCCAGCTCTTTTTTTTTTTACAAAGTCTGACCTCATGAACATTTGTTAGGCTAGAGGTTCACCTGTCTCCATAAAAACTTGTGTAGCTTTCATCTGCTTTTCCTGTTTAGCAATGCAATATGTTCTCATGGCTAAAATTATTTTCAGCTTATACGAAGATAGCCCCTGAAAAATTATTGACTTCTTCTATAGGGGAAAAAAGAACATAGGATATGATCTCTCCGAGGGAAAATAGACTGTTCTCGCTTGATTATGATATTAATTTCTGACCTTTCTCCAATCATTAATATTTACTTTCAATAAGATGCAGAAGTGGTAGTCAGCAAAAGATCCTCCTAGGAATTGGTGGTGGACATTACGTACCACGGCATATGGATATAGTTCGGTGAGTTCCTCCGCCACCTGAAACAGTTATTCAAAAGTAATGCGAAATAAACAGACATATCCAGGTGAGAACTTTAATCATGGCATCAATGAAGCAGTTCGCTCATATGGAACTCTAATTATTGACTGTGAAAAGTGTCTTTCCTCTTCCCCTTCCCCTTGTGTATAAAAAAACATCTGTATTATCAAAGCTGGAGGATTCTTTGAGGAACATTACATGCTATTAATACGACAGTTCCAGTAATATTTGAGAAATTTTTTCTTTTGTATATACTCGGCACAAGTGGAAAGTAAAGGTTAGCTCTCGTTGGAATTGCTTGTGTTACTTGGCCTCCCTAATCACTACATATTTAAAAAAAAAAAAAAAAAAAAAAAAAAAAAAAAAAAAAAAAAAACCATTCCATCTTCCCCTCATTGGAAAAAAAGAGAGGAAGATAGCTGCTACGAGCTTGAGTCTTCTCCTTGAACTGTTTGGAGTGATTATTGAAATGTAGACTTATTCGTCTTCGTTGATAGGGTTCTAGCTGAAGATTCATAGCAAGCTTATTTCAGTTTATGCTCTTATTATGATTATGTGAATAATGCAGGAAAGATGGAGTTTGGGTTGGACACCTTCTTGCTGGATATTCGTTACCGATGGAGGACCCTGGTCCAACCAAAGCCCAGGCCAATTTGGAGGTGTGTGGAACCTGGAGACAAGCAATTAGAGTTGCGTTTGACACTACTAGAGCAGCTTTTCCTCAAGGAGAAGTACTAGCACATATCGATAACAAGTAAGTTCTCTTGGATTGAGAAAATAATGCATCAAATTGGATCACAAAATATACTTTTATCAGTAGTGAAGAACATTTGTTCTCTCCAACTGGTATGCTTATGCATTAGTTATACCTTTCAACACAACTACTGAATTACTGATCTTAGCTCTTTATCTGTGGATTCAGGAGTTTCAAAGGTTGGCAAAAGAATGCTATAGTCGGATTTTTAGCAGAGCAGAACATTAAAGTTGGAAAACCGAGTGATTTCTACTGATTCTTTTTGGATGATTATTTTACAATTTTCTTTTTTATCTTTTAAGTAAATACTCCATGTGATTGAAACTTTAAGTCTTCAATTAACTGTCTATTTAAAATTTTCTTTTTTTTTTCTTCTTCTTCCATGAATAGTTTCTTCATTTTACTTCATAATTTGTATGAAATGTTCATAGCATATTATGGCATCATTTACAACCCAACTTAGAAAAAAGAATCTCGTGTAACCATATGTAAAAACAGAATAGAAAATTTAGTTAGATTAGGAGCCAGCATATTCCATGTTTTAGAAGGAAAAGGGTCAAATTTACCCCTGTACGGTCGGAAAAAGCTTTATATGTATCTCTCGTTATACTTTGAGCTAATATATAACTCTGTCGTTATACTATTAGTTTAAATATATCTTTTTTCTGTTAAGTTTTTCCAAAGTGGACATTCAATCCTACGTGGCATGACATTTGATGAGGTGGATGCAACATAGCTTGCCACCTTAGTGCCCCTAACCCATTTTACCCCTGCTTTTTATTTCTTTTTCCACCACTAAAATTTTCTTCCCCTTCACCGCTATTGTCACCATTACTGCTACCTTGAAAAATATTGTATTTCAAATTTTAGTCTTTTATATATGGATTAGGGGAGTTAAGGTGGCATGCCATATCATATTCACCTCATCAAATATCAGTGTCATGTAGGATTGGATGTCCATCTTAGACAAACTTTATAAAGGAAAGGTATATTTAAACCAATAAAAGTACGGTAGTGATATATTTCAATATATAAATATTTTTTTATAGTACGGGGATATATTTAGCGTATAAATATATACAATGTTGATATCTTTAAAAGAACTTATCAACTTCCAAATATCTAATAAGCAAAAGAAGAAAATGGAGGATTTGTGGGGGCTTAATGGAGAAGTACAGTAAACACTACAGACTACAGACTACAGAGGCAGGTAAGGGACACAACAAATGCATGAGTATGACTAAAGACCACTTATGCACATGCATGTGACATAATATCCCCCCCTATATGTTTAGGTGGACCCCGCCCTTAAACCCCGCCCAAGTAAGTAGTAACCACCTCCTTATAATAGCTTCACCGGTCCCCACCATATATATATATATATGTCACATCACATGTCATCTCACTTGCATCATTTCACATCAACTCTATACCCAGTCGCCACTACTTTATTTCCGGAAATTTTATTTTGTGTTTCATCAATTTTTTTGCACAATTTTGTGAGCCCAGATTTTTGTGGATCCAGAAGTGTAAGATTGTGGTTCACAAATTTGTGAGATAAAAAGAAGTCTCATACAACTAGTGTTAGTTGTATGAGACACAAAATAAAACTTCTCCTCCATTTCTACTCTCTCCCTCTTTTTTTTTCTAGGGAAAATATTACGTTAAATTATACTCCATCCGTTTCAATTTATGTGAACTTGTTTGATTGAGTACAAAGTTTAAGGAAAAATAAAGATTTTTGGAATTTGTGGTCCTAAACAAGTCAAAAAGAGGCTCAGAGTGTTTGTGTAATTATAGAAGCTTTTCATTAAGGGTACAATTGGAAGTTTAAGCTAAATTGTTTCCAAAATTAGAAATGAGCCATTCTTTTTGGAACGGACCAAAAAGACAAATAGATTCACATAAACCGGAACGGATGGAGTAGTACTATACAAAATTTGATTGAACCTGCAAGGGTAGTTTGGTTCTATATCAGGTTATTTCAAGTTTAATTCTGGAATTATAATTAGGATTATAACCAAGATAGATAATTATATCTTGTATATGAAATAGATAACCCATAATTTTAGTATGAATTTTATCTTGGTTTTAGGTAATACCCAAATTCAAATACTAAACAAATTTAATCCCAAAATCATGTACTAGGATAATCCCTCTAATCCGTATAAACAAGCGGCCCCTTAATCAATCACTAAAAAATCAGCCACTGGCAGTAACTACACCATTAACTTGCTTTAATCAAAATTGGTAACCCAAAAATATTCAAAAACCATGATTCATAGTCCGTTTAGCCAAACGGCTAAAATCAATATATTTGTCATAATGTTTCTTTTCTAGAAAGTTAATTTCTTAAAAATATTTTTGATGGTAAGTTTCTGAAAAGTACTTTTGATGGTAAGTTATTTGTGTTAAGCTAATTTAGTTGAAAAACACTTCTAAGAAGCAGTTAATGTTTGACCAAGTTTTTAAAAAATGCTTCTAAGCATTTTTTTTTTCTTCTCAAAAATGATTTTCAGATAAATACTTTTGGAAAGAAGCTACTTTTTTGTGCTTTTCCAAAACTGTTTCTGCTTGTATTCAAAAACCCTCCTTTTTTTTTTCTAAACACTTAATCTAACACTTCAACTTTGGAAAAATCACACTTTTTAAGTTTGGCCAAACATGCTATCAATTAATTCGAATATTAAAAGCTTATTAAGAAAATAAAGGGTTTGTTTATCGAAATATTTTCCTTTTTCAGATTAGAACTTTGAAACATTCCGTTATGAGTGTAAAGGGTTCTCTCAAATTCATTTACAGTGATATAAACACAAAATAATTGTATAACTTGAGAACTAAACCAGTTTCTGAGATATTTATGTATTATCTCCCCCTCCCCCTCCCCCCAAAATTCCAACCCACACTTTGAGTGGTTATTTACTCTGGCAGTCTCTTTGTACTATTCAGTTCGCCCTGTTGCAGCTACGCTGTCAGCGATGAAGAGAGAAATTGCTCACAACGGGACAAACCGACCTAGATGGCCCACGTGTACGTCCAATCACATCACCACACGTACTCCCACTTGCACAAATCATGCCACGTTAGAACCATAATCGAGATTCCGGAACAAAAATGTAGTTATTTTGGACAAGTAGCACCTTAATAGGTGTAAAAAAAGATGATATTTTTATATATAGCTCCCAAATACTGGGCGCTATACATTAACGTTACCTGTGCCGTTAATGTATAGCGCCCAGTATTTGGGCGCTATATATAAAAAGCTAGCACTAATAATATAGCGCCCAAATATCTGGCACTATACATATTTTATAAAAATCGATAGTCTTCTTCGAGACGACGATTCTGCTTCATCTTCCTCAATATTTAACATTTTCTTTTTCTTGGTCCCCCACTCCCATACCCGCTGCCCCACCATTTTAAAAAAAAAATTTGGGTCCCCCGTCACATAAAAGGTGAAGAATATAGGTCCCACATTCGAGTAGAGCTTCGTATTATTGTTGATTCACACTTCCGGAGTCAAAATTCAATCTATTTGCTTTCCGAAAATTCTAAATCGAGGTATTTCGGTTTATTTTAAGTTGAAACTTTTATAATAATGCATATTATTTGATTTGTATGTGTTCTATTTCGGTTTGTGTTTTTTTTTCGAAACTAGTATGTTAAATTTATCCGGATTTAATATTAGTGTTTTATAAAGAAATATAAATTTGTCAAATAAATTTGTCTGTTAATATCCTGATTTATATATGTGTGTTTTTATGCCGTTTTGTGTTTTACTTGCAATTAAATTTATTTGTTGTTTATGTTTAGTTTAGATTATTTTTTAGCGTATTAAAATCTAGACATTTTTAGTGTAGTAAAATGTAGATCCTTTTAGCGTCGTAAAATTTAGAGCCTTGTAGCGTAGTAATGTGTAGTATTTTGGTTTAGAATTCCTTTTGTTTAAGTATCTTATACTGGTAGTCGAAAATGCAAACTTTGTATAATTAAGTTAATAATTGTATCAACACACATAATTACTAATGTTAATTTGGTGCCACTGGGCCT